ATAGACAGACAGACAGATAAGATGACAGATTTATTTTGATGTTGATGCCCATATATGTATTTAATGTACACACACGTGCGTGCACATACACACACACACACACACACACACATACACAAATGTGTAAAATCACAATAAAATTATAATATATACATTGTAACTACAAGGTGGAGAGGAAGAGAGCAGGGTGTGGGGGTGAGGTGGGAAGCCGCTGTTAGGTGATCAACCCCCCCCCCCCAGTGTACTACTCCCCGGTTGGAGCCCCAAAGTAACTGCCACAGCCAGATCTTCAAGCTCTTGCAGAAGGTTAGGAGAATGGGAGCCAATCTCACCTCAGGGGAAAAGATGTTCCAAAGGGCCATGTTGAAATGCCTTGACTGGCAGAATCTGCAGCATGCTTTCTCTGTCGGTATGAGTGGGGCGGGCCTGTCCCATAGCGGTAAGACGGTTCCTTTATTAACCTGAATCCATGCCATGCAGGGCTTCATTAGTAATAAACAACACCTGGAATTACATTCAGGAGCAAACCAGTTATGAGTGCAACTCATGGAAGAGTGATGTGACATGGGCCACTCTAGCGGCCCCAAGGATTGTCTATGCTGCTGCACTCCGCACCAGTTGAAGTTTCCAAAAGCTCTTCAAGGGTAGCCCCATGTAGAATGCATTGCAGTAGCCCAAGGGTGAGATTGACCGAGGCTTAAATCACTGAATTGACTCCTGACTTAGGAAAGGGTATGAAGGGTGCTTGAATTAAATCCTCTTATTTACATTTTCTTATATTTATTCTCTGGAATTTTCTGTGGCAGGAAAAACTGTTGATTTTGATGAATATGGAGATATTCACATCCCTGGAGTAATCCTGAAGGCTTTTCTCCGAGAACTTCCTGAACCTTTACTGACCTTCCCGATGTATGATCAGATCATTCAAATCACTAGTGAGTCACTTTCCACAAATACATGGCTTTGACTCATTGTGTACTTTCTAGTGGTAACCACACGTTTTCTGAATAGCATAACATGGTGAAGCTAGATAGTTCTTAGAGATGTAGATCTCTGCAAAGGAGGTGAACGTGTCGTGATGCACCCCTTCTAACTGTGTGCGCTGGAAATTTGCTTTCACCTTTATATCAGATTTTTCAGGGTATTTATTGCATGTATTCCTCTGAGCTCTGTGAGACCTGTGCGAAGCCTACAAGATTTGATTGGCCAAGAACATAGGGACTTCTTTGGTCCTGCTCCTCACTCACATCTTCAGGAATTTAAAAAAGGGAAGACTGAAATTGGGTTGGGAATAAAGTTGAAGTGGCAAAGTGGGAGCAGAAAACCCCAGACAGAGAGAAGGTGGTTATGGAAACACAATGAAAAAGCCTTCCACATCCTGTTCTGGAAAAAAGGACAGCAACAATTCCATGACTGTTGAAAAGATGGAAGAAAGAAACCTGGGTTTTGAATTCTGGGATTGCTTGGAAGGAAGATGAACAAGAAATTCACTTTTTATGTTGTGACTAGAGCACCTCCTGACTTGGGAGAAGATGAAGGTTCTCAATATGGGTGTGGAGCTCAAGGAAAATAGGGGCATTCCCTGCTCATCTGAGTACGATTTTGCTAGAATAACCCAAAGTGGAAAGTTCAGCTGAAGTGCCATTGTTTAGGTGACAAGTCCAGAGTTCATGTGCCATATTGAGCCTCGGTGGCACAGTGGTTAGAGTGCAGTACTGCAAGCTACTCCAACTGCAATTTTTGGCAGATCGAATCCCACCAGGTTGACTCAGCCTTCCATTCTTCCGAGGTGGGTAAAATGAGGACCCAGATTGTTGGGGGCAATATGTTGACTCTGTAAACTGCTTTGAGAGGGCTGTAAAGCACTATAAAGTGGTATATAAGTCTAAGTGCTATTGCTATTGTTATATCCATCATCGGACATAGTGATCATGTTGGCGATTCTATTTTTATCAATAGCCGCATGAAAAAGTGCTGTTGAGTTTTGTCCAAACCAGTCCCTTAGACTTGGAAGCCATGATGATGTTGTTCTGCCTGGATCTCGTTTGCCTTCAATCTTTCCTTGGAGGATTAAGTGAAGCATGCCATATTTTGGGGGGTGTCGCATCACATGTCCAAAATATTGTAGCTTTCACAAAAGCGTAAGCTTCACTTACGCAAAAGGAATTGAATGACCATAGAAAGGAAAATTTCTAAAGAAACCATCTGCCTTGTGGTAGGGCCTGCATTGAATAGATCTTGGCAGATTTCAAAAAAGATGAGCAGGGTTGAGACATTTAGTAATTAAAATAAATAAGAAATTGGGAACAAGGGGAGTCAGGAGGTCTAAAAAGCCGAGATGGCGACCATACCCACAATTGAAGCCCTGTCCTCTTTTGCATGCTTAATGCAGTATAAAAAGGGGTGGAGTTTAGTAATAGCCATGCTTCCTAATAATTGAGGATTATCTGAGCGTGCTTCCTAATCTGAATATATTTAGCTATTAGTGAATGTGTGTACAAAAATACTTAGTGCATCTTCTTAATTAGGCAATGGGATATGGTATTATTTTCCAGTAGTCTTTCTTATATATTTAGATCTGCAGATTTTGCTGATCCTGTCTTCTTTTAGCTTCATCCTCTTTACTGTTGCCCCAAATATTACATGCATGTACCATGGAGGAATCAAACTCAACATAAGGGAGCGTTTATTTTTACCTAACTGAATTAGGAAGCAAGTTTCATTCACCCAGGCAACTTCGGGAGAAGGATTCAGCTAGAAGCGGTGAATGAAATGGTTAATCCCTTGTCTTTTCTCATAGGTGTGGAAAGTAGCTTGCGAGTGACCAGATGCAAAGAAATTGTACACAGACTTCCTGAGCACAATTATGTCGTGCTGAAGTTCCTGATGTGTTTTCTCCATATGGTTGGTACAAATTAAATCCCCAACTTTGTTGCTATTTTGAAACGGTCTCTTAACTGATTCTTCTGGTACCAGACCCAAAGTGTGCCTGCAGGGTATGGTCATAAAAGCCAAGATGGCTGATACAATGGGGTGATTGACACTGTTTATGATGAGTACCCCAGTGGTGTGATTCAACCGATGTAACAACCAGTTTGGTGATCGCACACATCGGTGGTGGGATTCAAATTTTTTTACTACCGGTTCTGTGGGCAAGGCTTTGTGGGTGTGGCAGGGGATGGATACTGTAAAATCTCTAGTCAGAGGTGGTGTTTGCCGGTTCTCCAAACTACTCAGAATTTCTGCAGTTCTCCAGAACTGGCCAGAACCTGCTGAATACCACCTCTGGCACGCATGCACACCATTTTAAAAAGCCCATTTTCAGCTATAATACTTAACCTTCTACTGCAGCTCCGGTGAGTAAAACAGCGGAGGCGCGGCAAAACCGCTCTGCCAAGCGAATCAGTTGTGCTCCAAAAAAAGGAAATGAAGCACAGAAAAGAACAGGGGCGGATGGGTGGGGCCAAATGATCACCAGAACTATTGGTTTGCCCCAATGGGTCCAAACCGGTGGAATCCCACCCTTGGAGTACCCCATCCTAGCAGCCAACAAGACTTTTTTTTCCCTTTTTTCTACCATAACCTGCTGAAAACCTGGTATCCGTAATGCCATGTAGGAATGATGTTTTGAAATAGGAAGAATAGCGACAGCCTAGGCCAAGGGTCTTCAAACTTGCCAAGTTTAAGACTTGTGGACTTCAACTCCCAGAATTCCTGAGCTAACATGACTGGAGGAGGAATTCTGGGAGGTGAAGTCCACAAGTCTTAAAGCTGTCAAGTTTGAAGGCCCATGGCCTAGACCAGGGGTCCCCAACCCCCGGGCCACGGACCGGTCCCGGTCCGTGGAACATTTCCTACCGGGCCGCCGGTTTGCTGGGCGTCACCATCTTGTTTGACGAGAAAGTGCTTCCAGGTGAGCTTTTCTGGTTGGAAAGCGGCGTTTGGGTCCTGAAGGAATCCTCGCGCCTTAGTTTCATCGAAGGGGGGGGCTTCGAACGAAACTAAGGCGCGAGGATTCTTTCAGCACCCAAGGCAAGGCGAGCCAAGCGACTGTCCCAAAGCCGTCCCAAAGCGAAGCCCATCGACAAAGGTACAAAGGAGGAGTTGAAGGTGGCGGGGAGAAGCGGGGGACGGCTGGCTGCCCGGTCGTTCGGCTCGCCTTGCCTTGGTCATGCGCACTGATGCCGGTACCGGTCCGCGGATCATTTTGTGATGCCGGTACTGGACCGTGGTACAAAAAAGGTTGGGGACCACTGGCCTAGACAATAATCCAATAAACAAAATTTGAGTCCAAAGGAGGGGTACAAGAAGGAGGATCTCGAAAGGACCCTCTCTAGTTCTGGGGAGAGTAAAAGTAAGGAAGGAACAAGTTAAGATTTGCTTACTGTAAATTTGCAATAAAGGCTGGTGCTCCAGATGCAACTTTTATTCTAGGTTTATCAATACATTTGCCAATCCTCATCCATTACTACAGACTGTTTCAGTTACAGCTTGTTTTGCTACAAAGAGTAATCTAAATGTGACTTTCATTTCTGCCATCATCCTCATCTTCCATTGATTCAAGAGCCCCCTGGGCTTTTCGTGGTATCATGAGCTATGAAAATCTTCATAAAATGGGCAGGACCAGGGGCTACTTGAATAGGATCCTCCTCCTCCTCCTCCTCCTCCTCCTCCTCCTCCTCCTCCTCCTCCTCTCATTCCAGGTTTAATAAGAACAAAGACAAGCAAAATGGAGTTGGCTCCCACTCTCCTTTTAAAAAGTCCATCAGAGAGCAATTTCTCTGACTTTTTTAGGCCATACTTCTTACAGATGTTCCTGCCCAGGAACCCAGGCTGACCACCTAACTACTTCACATCAAAACTTACCTGTACAATCTCCAAATTCCCATTCCTCTTCTGGTGGGTTTTTATTCTACCTGTAGATAAAGAAGAAATAGAGACCGTTTATTCATGCCCATAACACCCATGCCACGCTGAAGCAGATTTTTCAACATAGAATGGCTATTACAGACATGGAGTAAACTGGAAATGTATAATTAGTTCATGCAGTCACTCTTTATGTACTCTCTTTCCCACACAATTATGTATATTTATTTTATTTCTAAGAGTTCTGGCCAGCTGCCTAAAAAATAGTGGAAGAAAGCACAGGATAGTAGATAGCTCCAGGAGCTTTAGAGTTGAAATGTCAGGGCAGAGGACATTGCTTAATACAGTAACTTTATTGCTCCCATCACAAAAATAAAACATTTTCCAGACCTATTATCTCTCTATTTCAGGGGACAAACACACACATACATTTCTACATACACTATTAATCACAAAACGGCTTAGTTTATTTCTATTCATCGCTATGTGCAGATATTCCTTTTATTAAAAAAAAATATTAGGGACAATGGATCACTGTGGGATTTTTTGGGTGCATGAAAAGTGAACCCTAATGAATTTTCTTAGAAAAACAAATGGTGCTCTGTTGAAAATAAATTGAATCATATTCTTTAAGATTTTATTTTATTTTATTGAACCTTCAGCCCTTGGTTGATCAGGAGAGCTTTGGTGTTGTGTCAAAGAAATCAAGGGAAGTTGACTTCTAGGCATGGAAGCCATTAAGGTGGCTCTAGACCAGTCTCTCTCCCTCAACCCAATAGTGAAAAAAAATGTTGTTGAAAAAAATAAGAGTGGACTTTAGGTATATTCTTGACTTGATGAGAAATAAAGGCAGGAATAAAAATTGAACCACTACTGCAACAAGAAGATCAGGTCCAATTAAAACTTTGAAGAAAATACCAGGCTTCAGGTAGTCAAAAGTCTCTGGACGGGAGCAAGAGCAAGTCACCCATATTTTGTCAAAAAGCAACACTCATCACATAATCATCAGGAGCCAGGTTTGGTTGAAAAGAGACTCCTGTTCTAATTTTCCCTTTCCAGTGAAGAAACTGACTGAGATTTTCCTCTTCACCGAAGTTTTTAGGAAAAAAGAATATATATATATTTTTTAACTAGGGTCAACTAATGCTTTCTTTTAGAGATTACGGGATTATTGTTATTACTACTTTACAACCAAACCACAGTTCTAAATAACAAGTAGCCAAGGAATGGTTTTCAATGAAAAACATAGCAGCTCTTAGAACAGGGATGTCAAACCCACGTCGTCAAGTCATTGTCACATGACTTTTCCCCCTTCACTAAGTGGGATGGTCAGCAAGTGATGCATGCAGCCCGTGGACTGTGAGTTTAACACCCCTGTTTTAGAAGGTGGGCTCCATCTAGGAGTTTTTGTTTCTTTAACTGTGACTAAGTAGCTCTGTCATGAAATCTCTCTGTTCAAGGGCCAGCTGTAGAGTTTGGGGCTAAAACTGCATGATTCTGCTAAGTACATAGTTAGCAAATCTCTACGATCATTCATAAAACATATCAGCTGTCATCTTTCATGATCTTCATAATTCCCTGCATTCTCTAACCAGAGCTAAACTCCAAACTCCTGTTGCACCAAAGGGACCCGATTCCCAATTCTGTTTCTCTCACTGTTAGAAAATATTAGCAATTCCCTCCGTGTTCTTGTACCAACATTACTGGTTGAGTAGATAGCAGATCGTTTTTGTATGACAAACTAGTTGTTAACCTATCATTTTACTAAAAGAGAACACCTTCCTCAAAGTTGGTTGTTTGACTGGTTCTACCATAAATAGAAGCTACTTCCTTTTCATGACATGTAAGTGGTTTAATGGTAGTATTTGCTTATTTATTAAATGTACACTGCTCAAAAAAATAAAGGGAACACAAAAATAAGACATCCTAGATCTGAATGAATGAAATATTCTTATTAAATATTTTGTTCATTACATAGTTGAATGTGCTGACAAGAAAATCACACAAAAATTATCAATGGAAATCAAATTTAGCAACCCATGGAGGTCCGGATTTGGAGTTACACTCAAAATTAAATTGGAAAAAAACACTACAGGCTGATCCAACTTTGATGTAATATCCTTAAAACAAGTCAAAATGAGGCTCAGTAGTGTGTGTGGCCTCCACGTGCCTGTATGACCTCCCTACAATGCCTGGGCATGCTCCTGATGAGGTGGTGGATGGTCTCCTGAGGGATCTCCTCCCACACCTGGACTAAAGCATCCCCCAACTCCTGGACAGTCTGTGGTACACCATGGCATTGGTGGATGGAGCGAGACAAGATGTCCCAGATGTGCTCAATTAGATTCAGGTCTGGGGAACGGGCGGGCCAGTCCATAGCATCAATGCCTTCGACTTGCAGGAACTGCTGACACACTTCAGCCACATGAGGTCTAGCATTGTCGTGCATTAGGAGGAACCCAGGGCCAACCGTACCAGCATATGGTCTCACAAGGGGTCTAAGGATCTCATCTCGATACCTAATGGCAGTCAGGCAACCTCTGGTAAGCACATGGAGGGCTGTGCGGCCCCCTAAAAAAATGCCACCCCACACCATTACTGACCCACTGCCAAACCGGTCATGCTGGAGGATGTTGCAGGCATCTCCATGGTGTCTCCAGACCCTGTCACGTCTGTCACATGTGCTCAGTGTGAACCTGCTTTCATCTGTGAAGAGCACAGGGTGCCAGTGGCGAATTTGCCAGTCTTGGTGTTCTCTGGCAAATGTCAAACATCCTGCATGGTGTTGGGCTGTAAGCACAACCCCCACCTGTGGACATCGGGCCCTCATATCACCCTCATGGAGTCTGTTTCTGACTGTTTGAGCAGCCACATGCACATTTGTGGCCCACTGGAGGTCATTTTGCAGGGCTCTGGCAGTGCTCCTCCTGTCCCTCCTTGCACAAAGATGGAGGTGGCGGTCCTGATGCTGGGTTGTTGCCCTCCTATGTACTGGCCTGTCTCCTGGTAGGGCCTCCGTGCTCTGGACACTATGCTGACAGACACAGCAAACCTTCTTGCCACAGCTCGCATTGATGTGCCATCCTGGATGAGCTGCACTACCTGAGCCACTTGTGTGGGTTGTAGACTCCGTCTCATGCTACCACTAGTGACAGCACCGCCAGCATTCAAAAGTGATGAAACCATCAGTCAGAAAGCATAGGAACTGAGAAGTGGTCTGTGGTCACCACCTGCAGAACCACTCCTTTATTGGGGATGTCTTGCTAACTGCCTATGCTTTCCACCTGTTGTCTATTCCATTTGCACAACAGCATGTGAAATTGATTGTCAATCAGTGTTGCTACCTAAGTGGACAGCTTGATTTCACAGAAGTGTGATTGACTTGGAGTTACATTGTGTTGTTTAAGTGTTCCCTTTATTCTTTTGAGCAGTGTATATGCTACCAATCTCACGCTGAAAAGTAACTGTTTTTTATACTATTATCAAAATATATAATATATACTATTATATATAATATATATTATTCTATTTTATGTTACTATTTTATACCATAATGCAGTATTGAATGTTTTTAATATATATTTTTCTGGATGAAATTATTCATCTCTACTCTACTAGAGAGTTCTATTCCTAAGTCATTCTACAGATGTCATGTTCTTCCTGTATATTTAACAGTTACATTTTCTCTTATTTATTTCGAGCCTCAAAAGTATGAGTTTTATTGGTTGGGGAAATGTTTTATACATACGCACGCGCACATACACACACACACACACACACACACACACACACACATTATAAAAGGGCTTTGGTGCATTGTGCATGCAATGTAGATTTAAAAGAAGAAATCAGCTTTACTCGTGCAATTATGGCCGTTATTTCTGCTCAGCACCTACAGATGTCTTGTACATGTTTTGATTGGTATGTCTTTCTTTCTCCAGGTGTCACAGGAAACCATTTTTAACAAAATGACCAGTTCTAATCTTGCTTGTGTCTTCGGCTTGAATTTAATTTGGCCCCCCAACAGTGCTCCGTCCTTCAGCACATTGGTGCCTATAAATCTTTTCGTTGATTTGATGATCGATTTCTATCCCGTCATCTTCAGTTCGCGAAAGGTGCCCGGTGAACGCTTGCCTTGAAAATCAAAAGACTGGGACTGTAAGGCCCCACCCCTTCCCTCCCACACTTCTGAATGCAGGGCAGGAGGATGGATTCCCATGTTACAAGGAGGAGAGCAAATAATAATAATAATAATCAGGAGTCTAGCAGCTCCTTTTCCAATTTGTGCATTTTTATTAAATAGTAGCAGCTTTTATGAGTTCTGGGTTTTGGGGGTTTTTTTTGCACTCTCCACCACCCACTCGTTTGCTTAGCTCAGCATCAGTGCTCAAACAATTCTCTTCCTTGGGGCCAGCTTCCTTTGTAAGCCCTTTAAAAAATGCATGAAATCACTAAGCCGTCTGTTTTTTCAAGAACATTAATGCCTGAGCTGTGAGTACTGATTGAATGATAAACCCAGACTTCCTTTGCCTCGTTGGGAATAAGACAAGGATTCGAAGTGTGCATCTGTTGTGTCCCCCCCCGCCCCCCGAGTGTTAGTGGCTGGTTGGATTGATTCTAGGCACGACGAACACACGGTATTGTACAAGTTTTGAATTGCATTCAAAGAACATTGAGAAATTTAGTTCTGTGTTGTCCCTTTGCTTCCAGACGGCTACACCTTAAGAGAATTCTGTTTTCTATGCAGCACATGCCAGGAATTAAATGTGCTGTTAAATCAAGCCTCATGAATTATTCAGGAGAATTTATAAGAAAATTTCTGGTGTGAGGAATATGTGTTTCAAATTTCCCCAACTCTAACAGAAGTCCTGGAGATGTCTCCCGCAGTGACTTTGATAACAGTTTCTCTTTACAAATGATAATTGCACAATTCCAGCTTTTGTGAGGCAGGGCACCCAGCGAACTCATCCCTGATTATCAAAGAGCAATTTTCAGGCCATTTCCATTGCAGAAAAGAAAGTGATTACTAGGGGTAATCTGCAGAAACACACATTCTGCAGTTCGACGTAGGACAGTTTAAAAAAGAGAAATGTAGCATGCAAAATCAAAATTTTGCCTTTGAAAGCTGGTGACTAGCAGCGCATAAATGGAGGTAAATATTGCAGTTAAGTTAGACCATGGGGCTTGAAAATGGTTGCAAGATTTGTCTGATTTTTTTAGAAGCTTCCAGAAAGAATCGGTGGAATTGAATACTTTTACTGTGCCAGACTTGACAAGGAAAACGACAGAGTGGCTTTTTAAAGCATGTCCCTGCTGTTAGGAAAAAAAAAAAATAGAAACAAAGAGTGATCTCTCCTAAGACATTTATGTTCAATTGGGTAGATAGTGGACTATATTTTCATAAATTACTTAGTCCCTTTGTAAACAAAGATGTGGTGTTTATTGATTTTTTTTTCTGATACAGGAAAGAGTATTGTTGATTTTTTTGTGTGAGTTTTGAAGAGAAAGCTAGAATCTGGGCTTATTGTGGTCAGGCTGGTGATTTTCCACATTGTAAGAAGGGAGAAGGGGCAAAGTAAAAGCCCAAATCAAGGTCTGGATTTATTCGAGATTTGTAGATGCTCCTGGGCCAAAATGTGTCTGTAGACTAAGAAGATGGGGGTCTCCCCAAGCAAAAAATGATCCCAGACATCCAAACAAGTCTAACGAAAAGGGCCAAAGAAGAACAAACCAGAGTTTTGGATTTGCTGTGTTACAGTCAAGACCTAAACCCAGTTGAAATGCTGAAGCAAGATCAGAAAGGAGCAGTCCAGGCTTGAAAACAGCCATTTGTCAGGGATGGTCAAGGGGTTGGGCTAGAAGACCTCCAAGGTTACTTCAAGCCCTATGATTCTATAAAACTAGCCAAAGTTATTTATTGAATTTATATTGCCGCCTTCTCGCCCATGGCGACTTGGGGTAGCTTACAGAATGTAAAACCATATTTAAAACCAAAAAAAAAAAAAAACAACCCCAATACAAACTAACAAAAAGAAGCAAATAAATTAATAAAGTACAATAGAACAAAATCTGCAAAAAATAAATAAAAAATCACCCCACTACCCCCACCCACTGCCCCAACAACAGCAGATCACACTAGCCATTTAATGGGCTCTATCCCACTCTGGGTTCCCCAGGCCCACTGGCAGAACCAGGTCTTCAGTGCCTTCTGGAAGAATATTAGGGCCATTCTAATCTCTGGGGGAATGATGTTCCAGAGAGCGGGAGCCACCAAGGAGAAGGCCCTTCTTCTGGGTCCCACCAGGTGTATCTCCCACAGGGATGGGACCTGCAGCATTCCCTGCCTCTCCGCTCTAATGGGTCGGGTAGATGTGACCGGCAAGAGACAGTCCCTCAGATAACCCGGTCCCAAGCCATTCCTCACTCCTCTTATGTGGTTTATCATCAGTTACAGGAAGCAGCTGGTAACTATAAATACAACTAAAGTTGTTGTTGCAACCAATAATCTAATAATAATTTAATGTGGCAGTGCTTTTCCATTCCGGTGTATTGCATGTTCAATGAGTTTGAAAGGCATGCTGGATGTTGACAGGTGTTTGTGACAGCTTTAATAACATTTGGTCATGGGCTTCCAGTTTGAGCGGAACAGACCGAAACCGCGATTGTGCATGGTTTCGATCCGTGCTCACCGCTAGAGCGCCCCGAGCCAGCTGGTTTCAGGGCTAAGCCACCCCATAGAGGTGGTGAAGAAGGGGGAGACTGCCAGCAGGGTTGAGGAGAGCCACATCTCTCCTCCTCAGCTGGCCATTACTCCCTTTCCCGAAGGTGGTTGCAGCGGTGGTCAGAAATGGCCACCTCAAAGAAGAACTCAACCGGAAAAGAATGAGCAGGAGGAAGATAAGAAGAGAAAGTCTTGGTTGACCGGGTTAAATTGTAAAAGCAACAACTAAGGTACCCTGGAATTTAAACTACCCAAAAAAAAGTAACATTCCCAAAGAAGCAGCGAAGGAGAGAGAAGGGAAAGGATTTGGTTTTTTTTTTCTCTCCCTTTCCCTATATTGACAGCTAAGAGATTTAAGCAAGAAATTGGGGAAAAAATCCACTTTGACATCAGTACACATTGAAGCTGAAAATAAAATGTCAAAGGGATAATAAAGATTTCTGGACACTTAAAAGCTTTTAAAAGCAGGAAAGGAGAGAAAAAGAATAAAAGGGCAGGATCTGGAAAAAAGGGAGGAGACTGCCTGGAATTAAAAGGAATTTACAGTAAAACTTTAACAAGACTTCTAAAAGATACATTTTAACTGAAACTTGGCAACAAAATATTAGAACCCCAGGAAGAGAAAGTGGAAAAAAGAAGCAAAAAGAAACAGCTTGGGAGTATTTGGATTATTTGGTGATCTCTTTTTGGTTATTGCATTTGAATGACTAAAATCAATTGGGTGGTTGTTTAAAAGTTTTGAAAATGGCACCACTTTTAGAAGAATTGAAGATGGAACTTAAAAGGTATAAAGAAGATGCACAAGAAGGAAGTTCTTTTGGCTTTGTATTTCAATCTTTAGAAATGAAGATTTGGAACTATGAGAAACAACAAGAAACGCCTGCAGAACAAGAAGATTGGGACAAAGAAGAAGCCATCTTTAATGAACAAGTAATTTTATGTGGGGAAGAAAAAAGAAAGGGGGGAAAGAGAATGAAAAATTTAAGATTTAAAAAAACAACCAAAGAAAAGAAAAATAGTTTGAAAAACAAGTATAATATTGGAAAGCAACAGAAGAGGGGAATACGGAAGAGAGAAATAGAAGTAGAGAGACAAGGGGGTAAAAAGTGGAGGGAGAAGAAGAGAGGGAAGAAGGAAAGGAAAAGAAGTTACAAAGGACAGAAACAAAATATAGAGAAACAGGGCCTGTTTAGAGATAATGGGTGAAAATTTAATTGAAAAGGTGATTCTTCTAAAGGTACATAAGATTGTATTGTTATATTAGAAATAGAAATAATTTTAGAAAATTTGAAACAATGTATGATTAAAATGATGGATAAAATAGTTTTTGTAATCCAGTGAAATGTTCATTAATAAATAAATGAAATAAAACAAATGAGAGAATTGAATTAGGAAAGGATGGGAACATTTTGATTATTTAATGTTTTATAAAATATAAGTGAAGAGGAACAGGGGGAAAAATTAATTATGGAAAGCTTATAACTGTTCCCAAAGAAGTATGATATTTAATTGAAAAGTAATGTTAAAGAAGTTAAGATTTTAATGAACATTAATATTAATGATAGAACTGAATTGGAATGGAAGGAGTGTTTTAATTACATATATTTATAATCTTTTTTAAAGAATATAGTGTGTATTTTAAGAATGTACCAAGCAGAATTCAATTGGAAGTTATGTATTATATTGAATGTTATAACTTTAAGGTATGCATTGAAGCTTAAATAAGAGTTAAATGGATAAAACTAAAAGATATAAAGGTGTCATACTCCAGGCTTCCAGTTTGAACTTCTTCAGAAACAGACCGAAACCTCGTCTCTGCGAGGCTTCAATCCGTGCTCGCCACTGGAGCACCCTGAGCTGGCTGGCTTCAGGGCTAATCCACCCCATAGAGGTGGTGAAGAGGGGGGAGATTGCCTGCAGGGTTGAGGAGAGCTGCATCTCTCCTCCCCAGCTGGCCATTATTCCCTTTCCCGAAGGCGGTTGCAGCAGTGGTCAGAAATGGCCGCCACAAAGAAGAACTCAATCAGAAAAGAATGTGCAGGAGGAAGATAAGAGGAGAAAGTTTTGGTTGACCGGGTCAAACAGCAAAAAGCAACAAATAAGGTACCCTGGAATTGAAACTATTAAAAAAACAATAACATTGTTTCCTAAGAAGATTTTTAAGCTGCGAAGGAGAAAGAAAAGGGAAAAGATTTGGGTTTTTTTTCTCCTTTTCCTATACTGACAGCTAAGAGACTTAAGTAAGAAATTGGAAAAAAATCCACTTTGACATCAATAGGCATTTAATGCTGAAAATAAAAAGTCAAAGGGATAATAAAGATTTCTGGATAATTAAAAGCTTTTGAAAACAGGAAAGGAGAGAGGAAGAATAAAAGGATAGGATCTGGAAGGGAGGAGACTGCCTGGAATTAAAAAAGAACTTATAGCAAAATCTCAACAAGACTTCCAAAAGATACATTCTAACTGAAATATCACAACAAAAACCCCAGGAAGAGAAAATCAAAAAAGA